TTTTATGATTTTACATTTTCTAGCTACATTCTTCTTATGTTGCACTTGATTTGATTTTTTTGACCCAAGTACAGGGTTTTACATAGAATCCTATTAAATTTCATGTAGCTTTAGCTCATAAATCCAACTTGGTGAATGAGATCTTTTTGGATCCCGATTCAGAGTTCTAACATATTTGCTATCCATTACAATCATGTCAGTCTCCTCTGGGTCCCCCAAATATGCCATTTTTATTTTTATTTGATTATGCTATTTTCCCTGTTTGTTCTGTGATCCCCTATCCTACGCTGCTTTTCTCAAAATTTCCATCTCCTCTTCCATCCATCCTCCCAAGCTCAGTCACAGTTTACAGCAAATTATCCTTATTTTAACTTCCTATAATAATTAGACTTGAATTATGTGCCAAACTATTTCCCAATGGTCCATTTATAAATGAATAAGTAAAGTATTTATTAAATGTTTACTATATGCAAACACTATGCTAAGTGCTGAGGATAAAAGCCAAAAGTAAGAGACTTTTATTTATTGCATTTATTTACTCAATTTGCTATTATTTTAAAAATCCTTTTCATTCTAATAGGGATGTTGGTAAACAAGATATATAGAAGGTTTCAACTGCAAGTCAGGTGAAAAGTCTTATGATCCTTAAAGTACAGCACCAAAGCAGATGGTAATATCTCTTTAATGATATTTCCATGGGAAAAAATGATATTATTTTCTGATGTTGAACCATTTTACCATCTTCAACATATGTGGCAATAGTACCGTAGGAGTGATTACCAAAATGCATTTGCACAGGAGTTTCTTCCCAGGATGATGGCTGTGGCACTGTTCTAGAAGCACTGCTAACTTTTTTTGGGTGGAGGTTCCCAGTCTTTCTCTATAAGGGTCTGAATGAAGGTAGTGTTGGATTTGTTGGTGGTTCGACTTGTTTGGCACATGCTGCCTCCTGTTCCTCTGTCAGGATGCCTTGTTGCTTAAGTTAGGCTGGCTTGCCTACCCCATTGGTACCAGTTGGTAGAGGTTGCTCAACAGGAGTTGCTTCCCAGGATGATGGCTGTGAGGAGGAGCCTGAAAGCAGAGACCAGTAGAGAAAGGGCCAACAATCTTTTCCAACTGCCAACCAACTGCTACCCTCAAGGGCAAACCAGCCTAGCTGAAGCAAGAATATACCTTAAGGGAGAGACAAGGAATACCACGCTCTAGAGAAGTATAACTACTGCCACCATGACTACTGTCTCCGAAAGCCCAGGACACCGAGCCTAAGAGGCTTGGAAATAAGAATAGCCTTCCACCTATTTGCTTCTAGTTTAGCCCCTGCAGCCACAACTAAGGGGAGAAATCATTGTAGAGAAGGATCCATCTTCTTCATGTATTGCCTTAGAATGTTTCCGTCATTTTTTTTCAAAGAACATATGTGAAATAGAAAAATCAATCATCATTAGGGCCATTTGCCTAGTGCCATTTAATATTAAATACAGGTGCTAGTAATGCAATGCTCACCCTGGTGATTCTACATTCCATCCAATACCAGAAGGGGCTCAGAGGAAATAGTAAATTCTTTGGTTCTTAGAGAGCTGCTGTCCTCCTGTTAGAGTTGTGTTCTAAAGGGATTTATTCAATTAATTTCTTCACTAAGCCTGCATCCACTGGAAAACTCTACCCTGTTCTTTTTGTCAGTCAGTCAGTCAGTCAATAGATATTTGTTAAGTGCCTACCATGTGCCAGGCACTACAGTAAGAGTTGGAGAGACAAAAAAAAGACAATAACGGTCCCTGCTCTTAAGGATCTTACAGTCTAATGCTAAGAGGAAATCACAAGTTGCAAACAACTATGTATAAACAAATAATATACAGGATAAATAGGAAATAATCAACAGATTGAAGACACTAGTATTAAAAAGGATTAGGAAAGACTTCTGTAGAAGGTGGTATTTTAACTGGACTTGAAGAAAAGCCATGAGGCAAAGATGAAAAGAGAGAGCATACCAGGAATGGGAGACAGTCATTTTAAGTCCCAGAAAGTCCTAGAAAGGTAGAGAGCAGTTGATAAAGGGTTTTGAACACCAAACAGAGGATTAAGAGGTGCTCAGGAGCCACTGGAATTTATTGAGTTGGGAGGTGGAGATATGATCAGACCTGCACTTTAGGAAGATCACTTTGACATCTGAGTGAAGGATTGACTGGACTGGGAGAAACTTATGGCAGGGAGACCAACCATTAGTCTATTGCAATAGTCCAGGTTTGAGGTGATGAGGACTTGTACAGGGGGGGTTGCAACATCAGAGGAGAGAAGGGGGCGTATAAGAATGATGTTACAAAAGTCAGATTGACAAGGCTTGGCAACAAATCAAATAGGGATGGGGTGAGAGTGCCTAAGGATTTGTGGATGACCCTTAGGTTAGGAGCCTGGGTGACCAGGAGAAATGTAGCACCATCAAGACTAGAGGGTTTGGAGAAAAGATAATGAGTTCAGTTTTGGGCATGTTGAGTTTAAGATGTCTGTGATACATTCAGTTTGAAATGTCCAATAATCAGTTGGAGTTATGAGTCTGAAGGTCAGCAGAGAGGTTAGGGCTGTATAAGTAGATTTGAGAATCATCAGCATAATAATGATAATTAAATCCTTGTGAGCTGATGAGATCACCAAGTATAATGGTATAAAAGGAAGAAGGGAAGAGGGCCTAGGATAGAGAGCCCTGTGGGACACCCACCTTTAGTGAATATAACCTGGAGAAATATCTAGCAAAGGAGACTGAGGAGTATTCAATTAGGTAAGGAGAACCAAGAGAAAGTAGTTTCACAAAAATCAAGAGAGCATAGAATATCAAGACCAGGAGGAGGATGATCAACAATGTCAGAGACTGCAGAGAGATCAAGAAAGATAAAGATTCAGAAAAGGCTATTAGATTTGACAATGCTGAGATCACTGGTAATTTTGGAGAAAGCAGTATTGGTGGAATGATAATGTCAGCATCCAGACTGTGAAAATGTTAAAAAAGGTTGAAAAGAAAGGAAGTAGAGGCACCTTCCATGCATTTCTATGGACTTAAATCATGTGAATTTGGCATAATGGTGCCAATCACTTAAGCATGGTTTAACAACATAGCGTTTTTACTCATATACTACATGACCATGGCTTCATCCAGACCTAAAAGAGTCCTTAAAAACTTTTTCGGCACAGTGCAAACCCAGAGGTTCCTAGACCCAGTTGAAATGTTTGGATTCAAATGTTCTTGCAGGCTGTTTCTACCAGAAGTTAGCAGGCATCCCTCTGCTTTTCCTAGCGATTATGCCATATGACAATAGATTGAAGGAGTTAGGGAGATTGAAACTAGAGCAGACTCAAGGAGGACAAGATGCCTGTTTTTAGGTACTTGAAGGGCTATTGCTTAGAAGAAGGATCAGTCTTGATCTGCTTGGCCCTAAATGACAGAGAAGCAGGAACAGTGGCTTGAAGTTGCAGAGACATATTTAAGTTTATATAAAGAAAAATGTCCTAATTATTAGACCTATCCCAAAGTGGAATGTGATACTATGGGAAGTGGTGGATTCCCTCTTCCTGGAGAGCTTCCAATAAAGTCTGGCTGGCCATTTCTCTGGGGTGTAGCTTGGGAAATTTTTTTGGAATGGGTCCTTTCTAACTCTGACATTCAGCGATTCTGTGGAAGGTGCCTTTTCATTCCACTGAACACATTCATAAAACAGAGAACATTGTAACCCTCATCTTGCTAACCTAAAACATGACCCACTCCACTTACCAGAAAAGAAAAGGAAACAATGAAGGTTTTATACATTTCTCAATTGTATGAAAATTTCTCAATTTTCATGATTGATGTCTCTGTGAAGGTTAGTAAGATGGAAAAATCACTGAAAACAGAGGCAGGCCAATTCTCTCTGATGACTCATCAGTTTGCTCAGTTCTATTTCTATTTGGTTAATAATAATAATAATAATAACAATAATGATGATAATAATAAAGACTATTTAAAACTTCCACTGCCACACCTCAATTAGTAATACCAATCAAACATTATAAGAATTGTTCCTCTTCTTTCTTCCCTAAGGAGTGTTTCCATCTTTGTGTGACCTTCTCAACACTTTTTAAAGACAGGCTTTGTTTGTTTCATTGCCCATAAATAGGGAGCCTAGTTTTATTTACGTACTTTATGATTCTTTTTTAAATTGTTGTTGCATATGTTACTGTTTTGGCTTCAGAAGCAAAGTATCATCAAGGTAAGTAATTAACTTGCTTCCCTGATTTCCCTTCAATTGGGAGGCTAATTGAACAATTTTCGTTCAGCCCAAGATTTTAGATAGAGGTAAATGGAAATGTTAAGTTTTTTTTCCTTTGAATATACAGTAGCTATGATTAACCACAGCAGTAGCAGCATTGCTATAATGTAATTTACTTCAAAGGACTTACAGAATTGATGGGATATGAACTCCTAAACTGTAACCCTATTGAAATGTATTTTAGAGTTTTATGTCCTCATTTCTGCCCATGGCAAAGACTTGGTTGTAGTTTGCTTGATCATAGTTTGCTTTATAGTCACAGTCTGTGGACAGTTAAAGCCCAATCAATTCTTCCTGCATGAATAATGATTCTTGTCAGAATAAAGAAATAATTGCTTTTCTGACAGAGAAATAAGTGTGTTCACTAAATAAATTTACCTTATGCAGATCAGGCAGTTTGGAAGCCTCCACTATATTAAAAAGTGCTTTGGTTACTTTTCTTTTTTCAAAAGGTTGAGACACAATGAAATTTTATTTGGTCCATTATATTTTGAGCATTCGTAAGCAGGATTTATAGCTTTGGATGCTGGAGTTTACAGGAAACTAATTGTGTCGTTTTTGGATAAAGAGCAGCACCAGCTAAGCAGTAAGTACCATTGTGATCTTCTTACCATCTACTCAGAGAGACAATATCCATAATTCACAGATCTTTCCCTTTTGTGGTAAAACTTGTTGCTATTCAATGCTTTCTACAAGGAGAGAACTGTCATTCACATCAGCAACACATACACTAAAACTGGAACAATATAACAAAGATTAGCATGGCCCTTGATCAGGTATGACACATAAATTCGTGACACATCTCATATTTTTGAAATAATCAGTCTGGGTCCTGGGGAACAAACAATGAAATTTACCTTCTTTTAGTAGAGAGGTGAGGGATTATGGGGGCAGAATGTCTCATACTCTGTCGGAAGAAGTCACTGTTATCGATTGTTTTTGCTGAGTTGTTTTTGGTACAAAGGAGAGTTCAGTCCTGGGGTTGGGGCAAGGTTTCTGTATCTGGGAATAACTGTCTTGTAAAAACAAAAGGCTCTTTTCTACGGAAATAAATGAATGAAGTCAATCTTGTTTGTCAGGATTATATTATAACAGCACTTGTGCTCCTTATTGACTGTCAGTATTTGTGGTAGACAGGAACCATATGTGGCAGTTGGGCAACTGGACAGTTCACTGGAGGAGCAGTCAGGATACATGGGTTCTATGGGTCTGTGATTACCTTGCTCTATGACCTTAACAAGTCAACTTAACTTTTGCAGGTCTGTTTTTGTTTTTGTTTTTGTTTTTTTTTTACCTATAGAGTCAGTTTCCTGACTACTAAATTTCAGAGGTATGGTGAGGATTAAATGAGATGATAAATAAACATTTTAGTGCTTTAAAAATATTTAAGATGCACCTTAAATGCAAGGTATTATTGTTGTCATTTTCTCCACGAAAATTTATACAACACCAAAAGTTTAATATCATTGAGTAAGCAGATGGTTTGGATGCTTGCCCATGTCTCTGTGGCTAGAGAAATTAATCAGTCAATCAATCAACAAATACAGCAACTTGGACTTGTTCATATGGAGTCCTGGGAAAAGCAGTTAAATGAACCGGGTTCTAGTTCTGTTTCTATCAGAAAAATATCTGTGTGACCTTGGGCAACTTACTTCCCCTCTACACTCTATTTTCTCATCTGTAAATTGAAAGAACTCTCCAGGATAATTTCCAAGTTCTCTGCTGGCTCTGACATTCTTTGATTCTATGATATACTGAGCACTCTTGTGTGGAAGTCACTGTGCTAGGTGCTATAGTCAATATACAAAGGTAAGTTTTAGGGCTATCATGTACCATGCCTAGAATATATTCTCTTCTTATCTCTGCCCTTCAAAACCCTTAATTTCCCTAAAGGTCTAAGAATAACACTTATCCCTCCACCACTCCTGAACAAAATAATAGCTCTTTCTTTCCTCAATAAGGTACTTTGTCTTTACCTCTCCTTCATTTCTCCACAATCCTCTACTTTGCATCTTACTTTGTTACCATCATCCCCTGCTTTGTATTATACTTCTCTGTCTACATGTATTCTACTCCATCTCCAGCCACGATAGAATGTAAATTCCTTGTGGGAAGGGATTATTCTTGTTCTCTGTATCCGCAGCACTAGCAAAAATCTCTTATGCAGTGCAACATAGCTAATATTCATTGGATGTAACTGAATATGCAGAGATGGTAAGTGGAAAGTTTTGGATTACTGAGTATGTGTAGGGAAGGAATTCATACCAACAGACATACTAGTCTTCACCCTCAATAGCAACTCATCGTATTTCACTTTTGTAGACTACAATAAATCCATTAGAAGCTCTTCTCTCTGAACCAAAAATTGACATTGGCTGCTGCCCTCTTCCTTTCATCCAATCAGAAGAGAGACTGTCCTGTCTCTTTGGAAGGTGGGCAGAGACTCTGCCTGCCTGACAGTTGAGGGACCAGGATTGAGGTAGGCCCAACAGCCACGGAGGAAAATGCAGCCTGTCAGCAAAGGAAAGACAATCCTGCCTGTCAGCCAGCAGGCTAGCAAATCATACTGTACCAGGAACAGGAGAGAAGAGTAACTGAGCCTCCTGCATTCACTGTCTCAAAACACTAGTTAAGCATTCGAACTAAAAGAAAAAAGAAAAAAAAATATCCCTAGGGCAAGAGCCCTTAGACTTTTTCATGTGTCATGAACCCATTTGGCAGTAAAGTCTCTTTTTCCTTCTAAAGCCTTTCCTTCTCAAAATAAAGATTAGTAAAAATAAAAATGGGATTTTTTCCCCCTCCAATTTCTGGGACCTGCTGAAATCTAACCATGGATCCAAAGTTAAGAACACTTTTCCTAGAGCATACTTATTAAAGGGTGTGAAATGAAGGGTAAGGCCACAGGATCTAAAGATAGAAGAAAAGGGTATATTTTGAGGACCCTCCCAAAGTATCATGTGTCAAATCATCCTAAAGGCCTTCTGGAAGGCCTGAAATCCACCCCCTCTGCCACTCTTTGGTATGAAGGTGATAGTTTCCATATAGTCCCTGTTAAATGTGAATGTGTTGCTTGGGATGAATAATATAATATTTCAATTTTCAAACATTATTACCTTGGGACCCTTAGTTTATCATTTGCCTAGTTTAAAGCAGAGTCATTAGAGAATAGGCAATAGAAGTCACAAATCTAGATGGAGGAAGATCAAGAAAGATTTAAAGTATAGGCTGCTTCCTAGGGAGGGCAGGATGGAGGGTAAGGCCTGGCCAGTCAGAGGTCAGCATAGGAGGGGGACTGAAAGCATAGATCAGAGTTTAAAAAGGTGAAGACATTGAAAGCGAACTTTGCCTACTTTTAAATTTGACCTAAGATAGGCTGTAAGAATACAGCCCTATTCTACAATGATCCTAATGGCTTCAAACCATTTTCCTGATGTCTTTATTCACAAAATTATGATTGTCACAACCAATGCTACATCTAGTATTCCCAGGTACAAATTTGCAATTAATACAAGAAATATTCTCTTAAGGATTTTGCTGGCTACTATTATGTTTCTTCAGGACCAATTCTCTAGTGAAGGGTATACAAGGAAGGATATGATGACTGCAATTATCATAACAATTTACTTTTATATAGTGCTTTAAGATTGATGGAGCACTTTCAGCATGACTATTCTGCAAGGGGTAGTCTGTATTTTGTCTGCATTCTGCCTACCTTCCAAATTCTGTATTCCGTAAGGTAGTCTAAGTATTATTGAACCCATTTTACAGGTTAGGAGACTGAGGCTTAGGTGAAATTGCTTCATCTAATGAGACCTTCTTCGCCTAATGAAACCAAGGCTTGAACACAGGTTCTATGATACCAAATCCTCTATGTCACACTCCTTCCCTTCAAAGTAGAGGTCTTTCAGTTAAAGACTCATCTCTTTTATTCACAGGGGGGGAAAAGAATTAAAATTAAGAACTCTAAAAGATTGAGACTTATAAAGTTATTAACAATAATTGTGCAGTTGGAATTGCAAATCTATCTCAATGAGTAATAGCTTGACACTTCCAAGAGTGTTAAAGATTTTCCATTTTCAATTGACAGGAATAATGAAGTTTCATAATTATTTCATACTGAGGGAGACCTCATGCACAACAACCACTTCAGGTCTCCTTCCTGAAGAGTAGGCAGGGATTCCTTACACCTCTCAGGTATTAGATCCTAATGAGGATTGCACTATGATACTACTCCCTAGTGTAGTAGAAAGAATACTGGTTCTAGTGCAGCAAGACCTAGATAGCTATGTAACCCTGGGCAAGTCAATTTACCTCTCCAGGCCTCAGTTTCCTCATCCACAAAATGGGGGTAGTGAATACTACCTACCTCACAGAAACATGCTTTATAAATCTTAAAATGTTCTCTTAGTAAAGAACATCATTTTGTTGATATAGAGTTAGAGCAGAGGCATCCAGCTCCATTCTGGGCCTTGCTATCTTGCAAAATGAAGTTCCTGTATGATCATTTGTAGGAAGTGACCTGGGCATGATGGAAGGTGAACGGAAAAATTAAAATGTCAAGAAAAGTTTACGCCATAAACAAAGGGCAACCTTCCACCGTGGGTAAACACATCACCAATGGGAAATGGAATGTGCATTGGAACAGGTACGTCATTCATTGTGAATATACCTTCCACAACATGTGTGAAAAGGCACATGGAAAGAAAGATATGTAGCCAGTTTAACTAATACTTTGAGGATAATGTCCTCTCTGCATCTGATGCTGCTGTGTTTTTCTCTGCAGAGTCCCTGATGTCATCTAGTCTGATGATATCATGAGGCTGTCAACTTCTTTTTCCGCGGCTGTGTATTATTAGTCTCTTCCCTTGACCTATTATCTCTATTACACCGCCCTCTGCTGGTAGCGAATTGATCTGCTCCCTGACGGGTCTCCTCTGCAGCTGCCGCCTGCTTGTTCTCTGCTAAACTGTAGCTACTACTTTAGCTTCTTCCTCAGCAGGAGAAGGTTTTATAAGCTCTTTTTAGATCAGAGCCCAGGGTTTATCTCAGCTCTTTTGTGATTCATAAGGGCCAGCCAAGTAGAGAAACCCATATGACTTGTCTGTCTTTTGAACTACTTTTCAGCTAGCTCAGCTGCCACTGTTTGAATTCAGTCTTCTCTTTGAATTAGAGTGAGAAAATTCCTTTCAACTGCAACCCTGCCACTGACCACTCCATGCATATCACCGTCTGGGAGCTTCACTTAGGAAGAGTGGAGGGGCAAAGCAGACCTAGCAACTTTTGTTCTTTCCCCCGCCAGCATCAAACTTGCTGCCCTTCCTAGACTATATAAATGTGAGCTGTTAAAGAAAAACAATAGAGTGGGGGAATTGTGCTTTCAAAGCATCATAGCTGAGCAGCTCCTGCTCCAAGGGATGGGACATTAAAAATACCAGGAACAGGGGAAAAAAGTGAACTATTTTCACAGACTAAGGAGAGGGGTTAGGATGGGGAATATAAACTTATATAATTTTTCCTTCAGTTCTGACTATTCTTTTAATGTTTCATCTTTCTTCACCTCTACATCCATGACACCCACCTGCCTAATGCTTTCAGGTTTAGTAAAAAATGAGAAGAAAAGGAAAAACGAAGAGGGAACAAATGAAGGGAGAGGGAAGGGGGCAGGGGATTCTGGGAATTCCACTGTATAGCAAGGTTTGCACCCATTCAGTCATGGGTGGCCCACTTCATGGATATAGCCACCAATGGAGGACCCTGAGCTGCCTGCCTAATAAAGACTGTAAACCTGGGGAAGGCAAAAGTAATAATAAGAG